AAAGTATATTTTGAAAACGAACTAAACAAACAAATTCAAACTGCAAAGACCGAACTTTACCAGGGGATAGAGATCTTAAAAAAAAAAAAAAACGAACAGTAATTTTAAAAATGCAAGAAACCATGAACCAGATTAAAAACGCTAACGAGAATATTACAAATAGACTAGACCAAGTAGAAGTCAGTACATCAGATAATGAAGACAAAGTTTATCAACTTGAAAAGAATATAGTCAACACAGAAAAGATGCTTAAATCTCACGAGCAATCTATCCAAGAGATATGGGACCTCATCAAAAAACCAAATTTGAGAGTCATTGGGATAGAAGAAGGCACAGAGGTTCAAACCAAAGGAATGGACAACTTATTAAATGAAATAATCCTAGAAAACTTCCCAGAGATGAAAGATGGAATGGATTGCCAAATCCTGGAAGCCTACAGGACCCCAAACATCCAAAATCGTAATAGACCAACTCCAAGACATATAATTATGAAGATAGCCAACATACAGAACAAGGAGAGAATATTAAAAGCTACGAGAGAAAGGAGGCAGATTACATTCAGGGGTAAACCAATTAGGTTAACGGCTGATTTTTCATCACAGACTTTGAAAGCGAGAAGATCCTGGAACAATGTATTTCAAACACTGAAAAATAATGGATTCCAACCAAGAATACTGTATCCAGCAAAATTAAGCTTCAGATTTGACAATGAAATTAAAATCTTTCATGATAAACAAAAGCTAAAAGAATTCGCAGTCAGAAAACCAGCACTGCAAAGCATTTTGGGCAAAATTCTACAAGAAGAGGAATGGAAAAATAGTGCCCAAAACTAACAGCGGGAGGTATCAGTAAAGGGGGAGGAAAACAACCAAAAAGTAAAAACTAGCCAAACTAAAATAAATAAATAAACATGACTGGAAGTACAAACCATATTTCAATTGTAACCTTAAATGTTAATGGACTAAACTCACCAATCAAGAGACACAAGCTAGTAACCTGGATCAAAAAAACAAATCCAACAATATGCTGCCTTCAGGAAACTCATATGATACAAAAAGACATACACAGGCTAAAGGTGAAAGGTTGGGAAAAATCATACCACTCACATGGCCCTCGGAAGCAAGCAGGAGTGGCCATACTCATATCAAATAAAATCAACTTCAAACCTAAGTTAATCAAAAGAGATAAAGAAGGACACTATATCCTGTTAAAAGGAACCATCCACCAACAAGACATAACAATTATCAATTTGTATGCACCAAACAATGGTGCGGCAACGTTCATAAAACAAACTCTCCTCAAGTTCAAGAGTCAAATAGACCACAACACAATAATAATGGGTGACTTCAACACACTGTTCTCGCCATTAGACAGATCCTCCAGACAAAAGCTGAATAAAGAAACTATAGAACTCAATGACACAATCGATAACCTAGACTTAACCGACATATATAGAATATATGAACCATCATCAAGTGGATACACGTTCTTCTCAGCAGCACATGGATCTTACTCAAAGATAGATCATATATTATGCCATAGGGCAACTCTTAGTAAATGTAAAGGTGTGGAGATAATACCATGCACCATATCTGATCATAATGGAATGAAACTGGAAATCAATGATAAAAGAAGGAAGGAAAAATCCTGCATCACATGGAAAATAAACAATATATTACTGAATAATCAATGGGTTACAGAAGACATAAAGGAGGAAATCAAAAAATTCTTAGAGATAAACGACAATACAGACACAACATACCGGAATCTATGGGAAACAATGAAAGCAGTTTTAAGAGGGAAATTCATTTCCTGGAGTTCATTCCTCAAAAAAAGAAAAAAACAACAAATAAATGAACTCACACTACATCTCAAAACCCTAGAAAAGGAAGAGCAAAACAACAGCAAATATAGCAGAAGACAAGAAATAATTAAAATCAGAGCGGAAATCAACGAAATTGAAACAAAAAAAACCATTGAAAAAATTGATAAAACTAAAAGTTGGTTCTCTGAAAAAATAAATAAGATCGACAGACCCTTAGCCATGCTAACGAAGAGAAGAAGAGAGAGAACTCAAATTACTAAAATATGGGATGAAAAAGGCAATATCACAACAGACACTACAGAAATACAGAAGATAATTAGAAAGTATTTTGAAACCCTATATTCTAATAAAATAGAAGACAGTGAAGATATCGATAAATTTCTTAAGTCATATGATCTGCCCAGATTGAGTCAGGAAGACACACACAATTTAAACAGACCAATAACAAAAGGAAGAAATAGAAGAAGCCATCAAAAGACTACCAACCAAAAAAAGCCCTGGACTGGATGGGTATACAGCGGAGTTTTACAAAACCTTCAAAGAAGAATTAATACCAATACTTTTCAAGCTATTTCAAGAAATAGAAAAAGAAGGAGCTCTTCCAAATTCATTCTATGAGGCCAACATCACCCTGATCCCAAAACCAGACAAAGACACTTCAAAGAAAGAAAACTACAGACCAATATCTCTAATGAACATAGATGCAAAAATTCTCAATAAAATCCTGGCGAATCGAATACAAAAGCATATCCAAAAATTGTGCACCATGATCAAGTAGGATTCATCCCTGGGATGCAAGGTTGGTTCAATATATGGAAATCAATAAATGTTATTCACCACATCAATAGACTTAAAGATAAGAACCATATGATCATCTCGATAGATGCAGAAAAAGCATTTGACAAAGTACAGCATCCCTTTATGTTCAAAACACTAGAAAAACTAGGGATAACAGGAACTTACCTCAACATTGTAAAAGCTATATATGCTAAGCCTCAGGCTAACATCATTCTAAATGGAGAAAAACTGAAGGCATTCCCGCTAAAATCTGGAACAAGACAGGGATGCCCTCTCTCACCACTTCTATTTAATTTAAGTCCTTGAAATACTAGCCAGAGCAATTAGACAAAAGAAATTAAAGGCATAAAAATAGGAAAAGAAGAACTTAAAATATCACTATTTGCGCCCTTCTCGGTCTATTCCCTGAGGACCTTAAAAGAGCATACTATAGGGATACTGCCACATCAATGATCATAGCAGCACAATTCACAATAGCTAGACTCTGGAATCAACCTAGATGCCCTTCAGTAGATGAATGGATAAAAAAAAATGTGGCATTTATACACAATGGAGTATTACGCAGCACTAAAAAACTACAAAATCATGGATTTTGCAGGGAAATGGATGACATTAGAGCAGATTATGCTAAGTGAAGCTAGCCAATCCTTAAAAAACAAATGCCAAATGTCTTCTTTGATATAAAGAGAGCAACTAAGAAAAGAACAGGGAAGAAGAGCATGAGGAAAAGATTAACATTAAACAGAGATGAGTGGGGGGAGAGAAAGGGAGAGAGAAGGGAAACTGTATGGAAATGGAAGGAGATCCTCATTGTTACACAAAATTACATATAAGAGTTTGTGAGGGGAAAGGGAAGAAAAAAAAACAAGGGAGAGAATTAAACAACAGCAGATGGGGTAGAGAGGGAAGATGAGAGGGAAGGGGAGGGGGGATAAATAGGGGATAGGAAAGGCAGCAGAATACAATAGTCATTAATATGGTATTATGTGAAAATGTGGATGTGTAACCGATGTGATTCTGCAACTTGTATTGGGGGCAAAAATGGGAGTTCATAACCCACTTGAATCAAATGTATGAAAGATGATATGTCATGAGCTTTGTAATGTTTTGAACAACCAATTAAAAAAAAAGATTGTTTTGGCTGTTTGGGTTGAGTATTAGTTTAGCTATTCTAAACTTTCATGTGAATATTAATGTAAACTTGTCAATTTCTGCAAAGGGGCAGCTGGAACTTTGAAGAGGACTGATTCATTTATAGATCAATTTAGGGAGTGCTTCTACCTTTATATCAGGTCTTCTGATCCATGAGATAACTTTCCATTTATTTAGAAATCCTCTAATTTCATATAATGCTTTGTATTTTTTGGCATACAAGATTTGCCCTTATTTTAAAAAATCAATTTTTAAAAATTTATTCTTTCTGATATAATGAAGTAGTTTGCCAGATGCCCTTTAAATAAATTTTCATTTCTAGCATATGGTTCATCCTAGAGAATATTGCTTGCTTTCTTGAGAATATGTATTTAGCTGATGTTGGGTAAAGGATTTTGATGAATTTGCTGTCTAGTTAATTTAGAATGGTATTTTCAAATGTTTTGCTTCTGTTTTTTCTATGTGTTCTATTATTGATTGCAGTATATTGAAATTTCCAATTACTATTATCGAATAACCTATTTTCCATTCATTTATTTCAGATCAGTCTCATGTATTTTGGGACTCTATTATTGAGATATGTTTAATTTTATATAAATATATAAAATTATTGTATCTTTCTGAAGTACTAAACATTTAATCATAATAAAGTGCTCTTTCTCCAGCAAACTTTGTTTTGATTCTAATATGCCAAATACTGATAAAGACACAATGTTCTCATGGTTGCTGTTTACATGATATGTATTTTTCTTTCTTTCAAACTATTTGTTTTGTTTCTTTGAATATAAATCATGTCTCCTGTGGATACATATATATGTTGGATCTCATTTCTTTTGGTTTTATAATCCAGATTGACACAATCCATGCCCTTTTATGGGACTTTTAAAATAAAATCACACTTAATGGTATCATTGATAAAGTTTGTGTTTGGGGCTGAGTTGTGCCCCAACAAATTAATTTTAAAAAACTTAACCCTCAGTACCTTCAGAATTTGATTGTATTTGGATATAGGATTTTTAAAGACATAATTAATTATCCTGTATATTTTGTTTACTTCATTATAAATAAGGCCAGAGCCAGTTCATAAACCAACATTTACTCTATTTGGGTGGAGCTCTAAAAGTGTCAAGGCACTAGCACGAGCATGCTCTAGTGTCTTACAGTCATCTCCATCACAACCACCCAAGCATTGGCAGTGGACATAGTCAATGCAGAAGACAGCACAATGGGAAGAAACATATTTTTATTCTTGCAGGGATTCACAGACTGGGGTAGGGAAAGGTACTGAAGGTGAGGGGAACAAATTCAGCAGGGAACAGGGGATATTGTTTGGATGGGTCTTGTTTAATTTTTGACTTTATGGTAATTTCAGGAACTTTAGCTGTTAAACTTGCAAACAAAGGACATATGAGCCTCACAATTGGTATCCTTCCATAGCTTGAATCCTGTAAAACCAATGAGAAGAGTTAACCTGGGAGAATCAGAAAAAGTGTAACCCACCCAACTCCTTTCCTGACTCTAGGACTCAGGAGAAGGAACCAAGGGGAAGGATGATTCCATTTCCTGGATGAGGAGCTCTGCTTCCTTTATCCCCACAATCCCAGGTCTTTTCCCAGAGCTAAGCAGCAGAAGAGGACGACAACCAATGTGTGGATTCTCTGCCTCTTACCTGATTTTGCAGTCAAGCTTACACAGTAGCCACGGTTAGCAATGTTTGGGGATCCAGGGGCCCAGGCTTTGTAGGTATACAGGGACCCACTGCTCCAGTGCCAAAGGTGGATCTAGTGGGAAAAGACCAGATAATTCAGAAGTAACTCAGAAAGAGATAGAAATACCTACCATGTGTGGACTCTCAGAAATGGGCCAAGATATATGACAAAATAAAACTGTCATATATCTCCTCAATATGTCCTCCTCCTCAATATCGAATCCTTTCCTCTGCCCTAGCTCTAAGCTTATCCTTTCTTGGAATGTCCAACTTCTCCCCTTGCCTCTACAAATAACAAGTGTTCTGAATTTCATAGAGCTCCATAAAGGTTACAGAAAGCGGTTCCTGATATTTCCTTCCTACAACTCTCATAATTTGGGATAAATTCACCATTGCTATCTTGTTTAGTGTAACACCAGATTCCCCAAATGCCAGTCATAGATTCTCTTCTACTAGTCTTTTTATCCATATAGTCTGAAAGGGCTCTGTTTTAAAACAAATAATAACAAAGTAGGTAAGAGAATGACAAAATCCATGAATGCCTGGAACACCCAGGAAATCGAATCTCAGCTATTTCCAATGGTCTCCAAAACTCCATGCATTTTAGGAGCCTGACAGAGGTTGATTTTTTTAAGGAAATTATACAAGCTGGTTCTTGAGTTGTCCGACTTAGTTCTGCCCATTCCCTCTCAAACGTGATCATTAGGAGAAAAAAATCAGTTGCAGACTGACCTTTTTGGGGTCATGGAGGCCAATCCACACACTGGAGTCTGTAGTACCACTCTCCTTAATCATTGAGGCCACGAAGTTGCCCTCGGACTGGGTGAGCACAGATACCAGGTGGCCTGCATGTGTGTTCTGACAGAAGAGCTGCAGGGGATAGAGGGGAGAGGAAATGGAGTACTCAATGGAAGAGCAAGATTTGAGCAGTATACTGGGTCCTCCTCCCAAGGGATGTGGCAGAAAAAGGACAATACAGAAAGGGTTCCTGATGATGCTGTCACTGACCACCCGCAGCCCTGTACTGGGAAGGTACAAGGTGGTAGGACAATGCAGAAGGGAATATTTCAGATGAGTTATCAGGTGAGTAAGTGATCAGTCTTATATCTCACTGAAGCCACCAAGAGCACCAGAAAACAGCAAATGCCTCTAAATTTGTGTGCATCCCCCTCCTACTTTCTCTCCTCACATACATCTGCTTCAATCCAGGTCAAACGGTCTTCATAAAAGTAGTAGCAGTGGGAGCCATATGAATGGGTGCCTTCTGGGCAGCTGATATGGTGAATGGGGTGGTGTTCCTCATAATCCTGACCTGGAAAAAAGGAGGCAATTAAAGGAGATTAACAAAGGCAGGGCAAAGACTGGAAGGTGAGGGTCGGAGCTTTTGAGGTTCCTTTATAAGAATATGAACATACAGTGCTGCAGGCACAGAGTAGCTGCCTACTTCTCTCCTCTTGCATCCTAGCTCCTTCTTTATCAGGCTTAATTTCCTTAAGACAAGACCTCTCAAGGAACTGGCTGATGATAGTTGTTCCAATTTTCCCCCTTCTTTTCTGGGGCTCTGGCTTCTACTTATCAAGCCTCTCTTTTGGCTTTCCTTACACAAGTCTCCTGTCTGTTCTCGATCATGTTAATGACCCCTCTTTGCACATAGACCTCCCTGGCCCCGCCAATCAGATGAACTAATTCCAGCTGCGGTGGTCATGCAAAAGGTAATTCTAAATTCTTCTCAAACTCCCTAACAAGGTAAGAGTGCCTGAATGGGGTTAAAGCAGCAATAATGATCATTGATAAATAACCTCTTATGTTGACTCCATCTTTCCCAGGTAGTGGGTGACTGGGGAGCTGGGAGAGACATAAGGTCCTAGTTGTAGTGGGCATGGGCATGAAAGCTTACCTTGGCTCAGAGACAGGAACATCAGGCATGTGATCAGCATCAAGCATGAGCTGGTCTGAGCCATATTGAGAAGCAGAGAGTCTCCTACTTCAGGAGCAAATCTACAATCTCTATTAAAGAAAACAGGAAAGAGGGTTCTAGAAATGGAGATCCAAAGCACCTATTATCTTTTTCAAATACCACCTCCCCCCGCCCCCGAATTCCTGAAAGCAAGAAGACCCCCTGAGATACCCATACCTTCAAATACTTCTCTTAAGAGTTTATGCATTATACAGACCAAGTAACTGAAAGACAGCTCTGACTGTGGCTAATGCTGATTCAGTACTTCTAGAACTTTAGGTTTTTGTACAAAAAAACACCCTTTTATCTTCCCCAAGATGTTAAGTGGAGCAGGCTGTTTTAGAAGACCTCATTTACCTGTTGGCTGCATCTGAATTGTGAGATCAGGCCAGTCAATGATAGGTCCTTTAGAGCAGGATCTGAGGAAAGAGCCACATTATGAGCAAATAAAGGGACAAGGAGTGTCACAGTGCCTACATAGGGCCATGTCACACTTCCTGGCATCATGAGTACCCTCCTTTCTGGTGTACTCTGGGAATGGTTACAGATGAGGTCCCCCTTCCCATAAAGAGGTTGGCAAATGTTCTAAATCAAAGGCAGGCTTTCTCCTTCCCTAGAAGCAACCAGATGCCCAGTTCCCATGGCCCTGGAAATCACAAGGGCTAATGAGAGGGGGAGAGCAGCAGGAAGAGGGAACAAGAGTGTGTGAGCCTGGAGAGGCCAGTCTGCAGGAGCCAGGGACAGGGGAGGCAGTAGGACAAGAGCATTCTTGATGAGGAAGTGGGTAAAGTAGTTTAAAAATCAAGTACATGTTTGACTTGTCCAGCATCATACTGTGAAAGAAAAGGTGGCGAAACACAACTCTTTTCTAGTTTTTTTTTGACTCTACTTTTTTCCTTGCTTTCTTTTTAACATTGTGTTCTTCTCTCTCTTGTCTCTGAATATCTCCCACTTGCAGATTCCTGCTTAGGCCCTGTTTTGTCATCCCTTCTGCCATGTCAGTTTCCTGACAAGCCTTCTGCTTGTATAGCACTGTTATCTTCCTGCACTCTCAAAACCATGCAATCAGTTGAACATTGACATCTCACAAGCAGCTAGAAAACTCATGCTGTTCTTCTGTTAAGTACACTTTAAGATCAATCAAAGTCTTTTTTTATCTGCACCAGGTCATCAAAGTACTTTCATAGAATCTCCCTAATTAGACCTGCCCTCAGATTCTGACATCTGCAAAAATTTCCTATTGGTTATTTTAAACTTTAATATTTTTACCATTTTTATAAGAAAGCAAGTTCAGACCTGGGAACTCTTCTCCACAAAGTTTTCCTTAAGCATGGACTGAGATAGGCTTCAGATATACCAGAAGATGGCTTAAAATTTATTAAGATTTTAGCATTATCTAGTCCTTGGGTCCTTAGAGAGGGTAATTATGACTCACAGGAGGTCCAGGCTATGTCTCATATGCTTCTTCCCCTGGAAAGCTAGTGAATTAGTTTGTAACTTTGCTGTGTTTCAAATTTTCACTCTCATGCAGGTTGCTGACTAAACTCAGTTTCTTTCAGTTGTACAGTGACAACATTGAGGTTCCCATTTCCTCACTGGCTGTTGGCCTTTTGGCAAAAGGCCATCTCCATTCTTCTGAACCATTAATGGGACCATGAATCATTTTGCTACTTTTAAATTTTATGACTTCCCTTTGTGCCACCAGTCAAAGAAAATTCTCAGATTTTAAAGGGTTCATGTAATTAGATAGTTCCACCATAAAAATATCCTCAAAATCTCCATTTTTATTGAGACCAAATCAACTGATTAGTGACTTCAATTGCATCTTCAAGAATTCCTTTGCCAAAGAGTCTAAAGGACTTGAGACCTGAAAATTTTCTTCTGTGGCATTGCATGTCCTTTTAACTAATTCTCCTCTTCTTCATCCAACCATCAGTTTCAAGGACTTGGAACTTATGACCCCTTCTTTTGATATCTTTTGAGTAAATACAGATTTTTCAAGTTATTCCTGCTAATCCTTATTCTTGACAGAAGCTGAATGAAAACCCACATTTCCATGCTAAAGAGCTATGAAAAATTCTACCCTTCTAGTCTAAGAATGGTTCCTAGGAAGATTCTCATACCAAGCATTTTCACATCTTATGTGAAACATAAGACATAAGTCTTATGTTGCTGGAGTATTTCTTGATTTTCTTTCAGTTTCTAGTGCACTGAATTGGACATGACTGGATTTTATGTTGCTTAGCTTGACTACATCCATGAGATGAATGATATCTCCCCATCTCCGACTCTCAGAGACTGGCTAGCTAAGTAAGGCCTCTCTTGAGAAGCCTCTACCCTTCTCAGTATGGAATCATTATCTAAGCCTTGACTGCCCTTCTCTCTGTGGTATATACCTCTTGATTTGATATGTTTCATTATTCAGAGTCTGGAAGGACAGGTAGAATTATAGAGCAGAGATATGTTTTGTTTCTTATTTTTTCTCATCATTTTTTTCCCTGCCTACATTTTATTGCCTGCTTTCAGCAACCTTCTTTTTTTAAAATTTTGTTATTTTAGATATTTATGGCAGTATATTTTGACATATTTATACCATACATGGAGTACATCTTTTGCTAATTAGGATCCTAATTGATCTGATTAGAGTTTCAAGGATTATGTTGAATAGAAGTGGTGAAAAATCCCTGACTTGTTCTAGTTTTTAGAGGGAATGCTTTCAGTTTCTCTCCATTTGCAATGATATTGGCCTTGGGTTTAACATACATAGCTTTTATAAGTTTGAGGTATATTTCTACTATGCCTAGTTTTACTAGTGTTTTGAACATGAATGGGTGCTATATTTTGTCAAGTGCTTTTTCTGGATATATTGAGATAATCATGTTATTTTCGCCTTTAAATCTATTGATGCGGTGAATTACATATATTGACTTTCATATGTTGAAACAACCTTGCATCCCTGGGATGAAATTCACTTGATCATGGTGCGCTATCTTTTCAACATGGTTTTGTATGTGAGTTTTGTGCAGGGTACAATATAGGGATTCAATTTCCATCTACTATATATGGATTTCCTGTTTTCCCAGCACCATTTGTTGAAAAGATTATTTTTTCTCCAATGTATATTTATGGTGCCTTTGTCTAGTATGAGATAACTATTTAAAAATAAATTTAAAAAATAAATAAATTTATAAATTTATAATTTATTATAAAAATAAATATAGTTATTTATTTTTTAGAAATAATTGGACACAATACCTTTATTTTGTTTATTTTTATGTGGTGCTGAGGATCAAACCCAGGGCCTCACCCATGCTAGATGAGAGCTCTACCACTGAGCCACAATCCCAGCCCCTAGATAACTATTTATGTGGGTATGTCTTTAATTTCATTCCATTATGATCTCATAAAATACCAAAAAAAAAAATAGACAGTACCTGCATTCTATTTGGTAAGAGTTGCTTTCTGGCCTAAGATTTTAGAAAATAATCCTGGTCTATTTTAGAAAATAATCCACGTACTGCTGAGCAGAAAGTGTATTCAGTTATTGATGGATGAAATAGTCTATAATTATCTGCTAAGTCTAAATTATTAATTGTATTTTTGGTTCTATAGCTTGTTTAGTTTTTCTTTGGAAAATCTACCAAGTAATGTTAGAGGCATGTTAAATTCACCCAGTAATATTCTTTTGTATTTTTCCCCATTCTTTTACCTTCAGTCTGTGGATGTCTTTACCTATAAAGTTGAGTCTCTTGGAGGCAACATATTGTTGGGTCTTGTTTTTTAATCCAATCTTCTAGTCTATTTGTAATCAATCATTTACATTCAATGTTATTATTGAGAAATGGTTTTATTACCATTTTGATTTATTTCTAGTTTGTAATTCAAATTAGTTTTCTTTGATAGTGATTATTCTTCTAGTGTAGTTCCTTCCCTTTGCTGGTTTTTAGTTTTTTTTCTCTCTATTCATAAAATATTGAGTATGATTTTAGTGCAGGCTTTCTAGTTGTGAATTCTTTTAACTTTGTTTATTGTGGAAGATTTTTATTTCATCATCGAATCTAAAGCTTAATTTTGTTGGGTATAGTATTCTTGGTCTCCATCCATTTTGTTTCAGAGTTTGGTATACGTTGTTCTAAAACCTCCTAGCTTTGAGGGTCTAGGTTGAGAAATCAGCTGAAATCCAGATTGGTTTTCCTCCAAATATGACCTGTAATTTTTTCTTGTGTGGTTCTTTGTAGTTTTGTATATTTGAGATCATGTAAGCCTCCTATATTTGATGTTCCATTTTATTCTTAATATTTGGCAAATTTATTGATATTATTTCATTGAAAAGATTGTTCATTCTTTGAATTGCATTTCTTAGTCTTCATCTATATTTGGTCTTTTCTTATATTTGGTCTTTTTGTGTTATCCTATATTTCTTTAAATTCTCTTCATGGTCTCTTAACATCTTTTCTCCACAATCAATTTTATTTTCAAGGTTATATATTTTGTCTTTGTTGCCTGAAACTCAATTGTTCTAGTCTATTAGTGATACTTCCCCATTAAATTTTTAATTTGGTTTATTGGTGCCTTCATCTTGAGGATTTTCATTTTATATATTTTTAGAATCTCTTATTGATTTTTTGCTTCCTATATTTTCGAATTTCACTCCTTACATGATCTTTTACCTAGCAGATCAGTTTGACTAGTAACTTTCTAAACTCCTTCTCTCACATTTCTTCAACTGGGTTGTTGGTGGGTTCTGATACTAAGATATTTTGGTTTATTTGGGACAATAAGTCTTCTTGCTTTTTCATGTTATTTGTGTGTCTACCCACCTAAAAGTATGGATCTAAGGCAGTGAAGTTTCTACTCTGAACTTAGAGTATCTCTGAAGTTTCCCAGTACCTCACAATTTAGGGGGAGACAAATATTAACCACCAAGGCAAATGAGATATAGCATCAAACCAAATAATTCCTACTATGATATGTATGATGTTGTCATAATAAACATAAATGATGTAATCAGCTGTTGCCCATGGTTACAGTTTTGAAAAGTAAACAGAAGAAATGTAGGATGTGAGGAATATGAAGGAGGAGGATAGAATACAGAAGTAAAAAAAATATTAAAGGAGAGAGAGAGAGAGAGAGAGAGAGAGAGAGAGAGAATTAGAATTTAGCTGTTAGTAAAAAAGAGAATCAAGGGAAACAGCTAAGTGAGAGAAAAAACCTACAAAACCAAAATATACTAATCATACTGGCCCCTCAAAAGACTAAGCCATACAAAAATAACTGCCTTCAAAAAATGCTAGAAATGAGGAAAAAAGATAAATATGTATTTGTATAAATATCCATAAACCATTCAGCTCACAAGGTTCTGGATGAGACATTAAGGAATTTTTTCCATTGCAGTGGTCAAAAATTGTCAATGAGAATGTCTGTCCATTGTCTATTCCCAAATATCT